AAACACACGTGAGTGCAAATGCACACACCATATGCACACACAGGAAAAAGAATAAGATGGATGGTGCTCATGAGACACAACAGTCAGGATCAAATGCTGGCATCTGCACACATGTGCACACACATACACACCACATGCATGTGCGCACACTCGCACGCACACAGAGAGTGGCGAACAGTCCCACTTTCTAGGACCTTTGTAGTAGTGAAATGTGGCATTGCCTGGGACATGTCAGTGTGGTCCCCATCCTGAGGTAAGTCCAGGCAGGATGCACATCAGGCACTAAGCTAATGAACACGGTGTTGTGTTTATCATTATTAGGGGTTCCAGGGTGTGCCAGGTGTGTTAGGGACCCTTGCTTGAACACTGCATGAGAAGGAAGGTTTATCTTGGCTCACAGTTTCGGTCCATCATGACAGAAGCACAGTCCTGGCTGCAGGAGGGTGTGAGGGAGACTGTTCACATCCTGGTGGTCCAGGAAGTAGAGAGTCAAAGACCTGTCCCTGGAGATCTACTTCCTCCAGCCAGGCACCACCTCTGATAGTTGACACAGTCTCCACAAACAGCACTGCCAACTGGGGAACGAATGTCCAGATATGAGCCTGTGAGGGCCATTTCATAGTCAGAACATAATGTGGGTTTGAAGGGGACATCTGCTCTGAATTCCTGATCTGTTGGGACCAGATACAGGGAAGCCTGCTTTCGTAGGCCTATGACCGTCCACACAGAGGACGGGGAAATCTAGTGTATGCTACTACATTTGGGGTTCTTCCTGGAGAGTCTGTGGGTCCTGGCATTTCCTGTGGCCACTGGCAGCTTTCCTCAGGGGAGTAAAGAGCTCCTATCACACAGGGGAGGGCTAGGGACACCCAACCATCAGCCACAGTGATAATCCCTCAGTATTACAATGCTGTCATTGCTACTGTGTGGCTGTTGCTGACCATCCTCCCTTGGTGACCGTCATCTCTGTGTCCTCCTCCAGGGCTCAGGAAGCCGGGGACATGTCATTCTTAAGCCAAAGTAGAACCCCCATCTCTTTAGGAAAACACAGCCGACTTTGGCAGTAATAAATTGATGATGCTTGCACTCCACCAGGGACGACTGGATGCCTGGTCTTGATCTCACGTGTATTATCTCATTTAACTCTCGTGGCTCCATGTTGAGATGGGTCCCACTTTTGTTCCTAGCCTTTATGTGAGGAAATAGGGGCATGCGATGAAAGGAGTGTGTCCAAGGTTGCTCAGAAAAGGCAGACCAGCCTTCAATACTGCATTCTTCCCACCCAGGATCCATATTCACCAAACCTCCCATTGCCCAAGATCCCCATCCCTGTGGCTCTGGGTCTTCGTTCACTCAGTCCCTCCCCTCCCACACCCTGCTCTTCCTTTCTGGGGAGACCTCCCACCCTCAGGCCTCACTCATTGGTCCTAGCATGTCTGCCCCCATCATCTAGTGTGTCAGCACAATTTAAACTTTTTCTAGGAGTGCGCGCGCACACACACACACACACACACACACACACACACGGTTTTTAAAGGGGGAAGACATTTGTCTTTGGTTTTAATTAATGCCAGCTTGTTCATCCCCAGTTTTAATAACGTTACTTCATTTGTCTGATTAAGTACTTAGTTTTGCTTTTAATTAGTGTTCTTTATTGTCGCTGAGTTTTAATTGCCAGTGCAGGGTCCCTCTGGGAGGATGCATCCGATAGCAGAGCCTAGTGGCCAGTCAGAGGACCTACTGTGGTTCCAGTGGGGACTGGTGTTAATTTTTCAGGTCCCACCAGCTCTGATTGCCTTTGGAATCCCTGCTTGTTCCAAGCTGACATGGGACCCCAAGGATACAAATGCAGGAATGTTACAGAGGCAAAACTTAATTCAAATTTGACTTCATTGGCTTATTATAACCGAAATAACAAATACAGGTTCAGGCATGGCCGGATCCAGCACCCCCACCACCTGTGTACCGTGAGGCAGCAGCGTTTCTCCATCCCCTGTAGCAGGCTTTCCCTGCGAGGTGGATTTTGTCCTTACCAACTCAGCACTGGAGACAGAAAGAAAATCATCTATAGAATTCCATCAAAGCTTTCATTGGTCCAGATCAGGTCATATGCTGATCACAAGCCAGTCACAGCAGACCAACCACTGACTGACCAGAAGTGGGTTATAGGCCCATCATAAGGACAGAACTAGGTGAACCCCACCTGAGTCTCAAAGGTGAATATTGAGAAAGAACCACCTGGAAGGAAAGTTGGGGTGCTTTTATCCTCCCCTCAATACTAAATTGGAGATGTATATGGACTGGAAAAATGGCTCAGTCGGTAAAGTGCTTGCCACACAGGCATGAGGACCTGAGTTCAATCCCCAGAACACACATAGAATGATAGGCATGGTGGTGCCTGCCTTAACCACAGACACACACATGCACAGGCACACACACACACACACACACACACACACACACACACACACACACACGGTGCATCCCAGGTGTCTGTTGCACCTTCACTCAGACCTTCAGCACCCTGAAGACAGACATTTTCTCACCTCTCCCAGGTGCGCTGGGAACACTGACAGAGTGCTGCCTGGGAGGATCCTGGAAGGCAAGTGGCTGACAAGCCCTTCAAGGACAGTCACTCAGTGCCTGGGAGGTCAGCGCCCTGGAGTGGGTTAGCTTGCCAGAGTCACTCAGAGAAGGATCGAGGGTTGCATGTGGGAGTTGATTCTAAGCCAGCAGCTTCTATCAGTCTGTCTGTGCCATCAGGTCTCTAGGGATGCTATCAGGCCAGATCCTCTGGTCTAGGCCAGATTTGGCTCACTTGACTGGGGGAGTAACTCTTCCAGTGGGCTAGCCTGGGCTCCTCATATACAGCAAGCAGCCATCTCTAGAGCATTTGCATCTTCGAACTCCTGATTGAATAGTTTGTGTTTTAATGCTTTATCTCTAGGCCTAGACCAGTGGTAGATACTTAGCGACAGTGGGTGTTCTCGGAGTAGAAAGGGGAGGAGGAGGGGAGAAGGAGAGAGGTAGGGAAAGGGAGAGGGAGATGTGTATAGGCCAGGGGACAACCTTGGGAGCCATCCTTCTTGTTTTTGGAGACAAGGTCTCTCGCTGGGATCCGGAACTTTCCAAATAAACTAGACCATCTGTCTGGCCAGTGGCTTTGAGTCCCTCTGCCTCTGCCTTATCAGAGCTGAGTTTCAGGCTCTTGCCACCAAGCCCAGCTTTGCTACCTGGGTCCTGTGGGTCAAACACAGACCCTTGTGCTTTTGAGGCAAGCATGTTACTGGCTGAGCCGTCCCCGGCCCTCCATAAGTTGCATTTGTTTGTTTATGCTTTATTTGTTTTGTTTTGTTTTGTTTTTATTTCAGTTTTTTTGGGAGAAGCTCCCAGTCTTAATGCTGCCTTACTTTTGGCTTAATTTTACTTCAAATACCATGTGGGCCAAGCATAGTATATGTCTGACTGGGATATTGTTTGTTCGTGTGAGTTTCCTCTGTGCTTTGCATCCCTGGTGGGCCTCATCTTCACTCTCCAGTAATCTGAACAGGTCTGCATGAGCCCGAATGGGCAGCGGTGAGCCAGAGGCAGGAGAGGGTAGAGATGGAATCAGAAGTGTCCAGATGCCATCTAAGATGTTGGGTTCAGGTCTCCCATGATTTAGTGCAGGGCTGTGGGACACAGATGCTGGCTAGAGTTTTGAACCCACCCCCCCACATTCACAGGTGACACAGACCCCTGCAACTCTCCAAAGCACTACATGAGGCCCCTGCCAGCCCCATTCAGCCCCACCAGGTCACTTCAGAGACTGTTAGGGCTCTTAAGTGAGCTGTGTTCCCCCCCCCCCCCACTTATCTTTAAGCAGCAGAAGACCAAGAAGATTCTGGGATGCTGACAGGGAGAAGTAGGGACAAGGTGCGAAGGGGAGGGGTTCTATAATGGGTCTCTCTGGGATTTGGACAGTAGCTTTTGTGGCAGTCCAAGATGCAGGATGGCCTTGGGATCCACAACACGAAGACAGCGGGCTGGCTCTAATGTTTCATGTATCTGTGTACTCATCAACCTTTATAATCTATATGGCCACTTATTGAGCACCAACTATATACCGCATGTAGGGCTGATTGCAAAATAAACATTTCTGCATCTCTCATGCAGAACTTACGAAGAATCCCAGCAAGTGAGCACAGGGATTTGAGCTTAGTGGTGTGGGTTACCTGCAGAGGTTCGTATGAGGGTGTGGGATCCTCTTCCATGCACAGTCCTGGAACCCGTGGTTCTTTCTGACTAGGTGGAGAGACAAATGCAGGTTCCTATAGTGAAGGGAGTTTTCACTCCTCCCAGGAGACGCTTAGAGGTGGGATCATCGGGCCAGTGGGCTCCCTGTGTCTGACTATGGAGATGTTTAACAAACTGTGATAAGTTTTTTGGGTTCTCCCAAACTGATGTGTGAAGGGTAAACTGATCCTGGGCAGGGCAGATATAGAAAGGCGTAAGCCACTATGGACAAGAAGCCAACCATAGGCTGTATGTGAGGTGAAGAAAGGTTGATTTCATGAGTCTGGAGGCTCAAATCAAAGACTGTGTGACCCCATATCTGTGCCCTTTGGCATGGCTGGCAATGTATGTGCAAACCGCTCACACCACAGCCAAGACACAGAGAGAATACAGAACCAAGGTCCCTCATTCTCCTTCAAGGACAAGTTCTCAGTGACGTCAACACCTCCTTAAAAGTCCACAACTGTGCCCCCAAAAGCAACCTGTGTTAATAATAAATGGAAATCATGCTGGCCCATCTCTTGTCACTAGGTAGCTGTGTCTCCCAGGGGTCACTTCCCCTCAGGGGTACAAGGTTCTGCTCCTGGACAGTGGAACAACCGGGCCAAGCTCCCTCCCTTTTCTGTGTCCCCACATGTGTGGCATAGAGTAGGGACTCATGAGCTAAGAATGGCCAGATGATTAGGTAACCATCTTGGGTTTTCCAGGTGTGCCAGCCTTCCGCCATGACTGATACTGTGGTGAACCGATGGATGCACCCTGGTGATGGCCCGCTTCAGTCAAAGTAAGTCTGCAGTGACCCTGAAAGTAGCTCATTTGAGCTGGGCATTCCTAAGTGTCTATATCAGAAAGAAGGAGAAGAGGTGTGACTTTCCTTCCCTGGGCTAGGTGTGTGTGTGTGTGTTGTACGTGCATGTATGTATGAGTGTGCATATATATACATATACGTGTATATATATGTATGTATATGGGCACACATGTATATGCCTGCCTGTGAGGAACAAAGTTGACACTGGAAATCTCCCTCTATCATTCCCAGCTCCATTGATTGGAGCAGGGTCTCTCAGTGCAGGCCTAGCTCCCTAGCTTCCCAGCCCCATGGTGGGTTTTATGGTGGAAGCTTCTCAATTTTCCATAACCCCACTATTTCCTATTGTGTATCTAATAGAAAGCCTACCTTGGGTATCTGTGTTACTCACCCAGCCCCATGGGCATGGGTAAGAGATGGCCTCTCTGACCTCTATGCCTCAGTGTGGTGGCTCTGTTGGACAGAATTTTAAGACATCATAAGGCTGAAGTTCCTAGTTGGGAACATGATTATTTTAATGACAAGAATATGTGTCATGGGGGTGGAGGGTGGGGCTGTTTGGTGATGACCATTGCTGGCCCAAAGAATGTGGAAAGGTCTTCTGTGGTGCTTTATGTCTGTTATAAGATGAAACTTTGATGAAGGGTGAAGACTGCCCTTACCTGTGGGTACAGAACAAATGTTTATAGAGTGTTGTTCTGGGCTATACTGGTTTAGTAAATTAGTGGCTGGAGAGTTTCTTTCAATTACTATAATTTCACTAGCACTGAGTAATTTGCTAGATTTCCAGTACTGGGTGTGGTTTCCCTCTTGTTTGAGGCCTGATGGACTCTGCCCCCCCATCTAGTTTGGCATGTTCATTGGTGTCATCCTTGTTCTGTTCATGTTTGGGCAGCTATGTTGGTGAGACTTTATGGGTGTAGCTTCTGACATTCCTAGGAGACACAATTTCATAGCAAATTCCTTGTTCCTCTGGCTCTTACAATTTTTCAGCTCCCTCTTCTGCAATGTTCCCTGAGCCTGAGATATGGGAATGTTGTCAATGTATCTATAGGGACCTGGCTCTACAATGTTGCAGTTTGATTGTTTGCGATTTTCTACACATGCCAGATTGGACAGGGAAATCCCATGAGGCCTCAACCCTACACAAAGAACTGCAGACAACTGAGGACTGTCAGGAGTGGGAGGGGTGGTTCTCCCTAGGACGAGCACAGCAATTGGTTCAGTACCAACAGCCCTGAAAATATAGCATAGAAGTAACATTATATGGATTCAACAGGTTATATTTATGGCTGTGTGTGTGTGTGTGCGTGCATACGTGCATTAACACTTGATGAAAAAAGACATCTTGAATTTAAAAGAAAGCAGGGAGCATATAAGGGAGGGTTTGAGGAAAGAAAGGGAAGGGAGGATTGTTGTAATTAAAATATAGCCTCAAAAATAACAACAAAGACTGGGCAATGGTGGTGCACACCTTTAATCCCAACACTTGGGAAGCAGAGGCAGGCGGATCTCTGTGAGTTTGAGGCCAGCCTGGTCTACAAGAGCTAGTTCCAGGACAGGCTCCAAAGCTACAGAGAAACCCTGTCTCGGAAAAAAAAAAAAAAAAACCCATAAATAAAAAAATAAATAAATAAAATACCCCCTGCAAAAAATAAAAAATAAAAAGAAATGTAAAAGAAAGCAGAAGAATTGTCAACCAAGATCCCTTCTCATTGGTTGGAAAAGTGTGCCCATCCTTGGTCACAGTTTCCCCTTGTCTATGAAACACTCCCATTGTTAGCTTTTTAAATGTGACTCATAAACCCCCACTTCTATTAAAGAAGAAATTGACTTTCACAAGCGGATGTAAGTAGATATCACATACTTTCTGGGAAAGCAAAAGATAATTATTAAAAATAAATAATACTTACTAATTCTTTTTGAGACAATGTCATTATCATCTCCCTTATACTGTAGGGAAAGTGGGCCAGTGAAAGAAACAGTCTTGAAAAGAAATGTTACATCTGTAACCAGTACAGTACAGACTCCAGTAAAAACAGACTGCTAAAAGAAACACTGTGGGGATACCTACTCTAGATTGTATCAAAAAGAGATAATGAAAAGAAACAATTTGTATGTAGAGGGAGAATCTAGCAAAAAGAGATAATTAAATGAAACAATGTAAATAGGCCTTGCTCTGTCTGAGCCTCCCAGAGAGGACAGCCTGAGGTATTTTAGAGAGGACAGCCTGAGGTATCTTAGGGCACACTACATTTCCATTAAGCCACTCTATTATATTTTAAGAATTTTGTGTTATTTTATTTATGGTCATTTCTTTTTATTATTTTTAGTCTTTTTTCTGGTTCTCTAAGTCTCCTGCTGTTTGATCAGTTTTTGTTTATTAGTTGTGTTTCTTTTGTTTTATTTTGTTTTAAGACAGGAACTCACTGTATAGCCCAGGTTGGCCTTGGACTCACAATCCTCCTACCTCAGTGCCTTAAGTGCTGATGTTATAGATGTGTTATGAATGTAAACTGGTTCTTGGAGTGGGCTACTATTTGGACACTGCTCTTTGGAACTGGACTTCCAGAGACTTGTTTGCTTGACTCAGCACTAGAAGCTGCTTGGGGCATTTATGACAAAGACTCAGTGCTTCACCCTGCATGATTGTTCACACTGATTTTACACATGCTGGAAAGACTGGAATTGTGATACTCCCAGAACCTTGGTTTACATTTTTCACTGAGGGAAGAACAATGGCAAGAAGACTGGACATTTATGCTCTTTCTAGCTAGTCAGCCCAGCTAACTCAGTCAGTAGTGCATGGGACTTTTAATCCCAGGGTTATGGGTTTGAGCCCCACACTGGGTGCCATAATGTTGTGTAATTAAAGGAGGTTCACAAGAGCCCACAATAAAAGATAACAAATGTTTATTGGGGATCATTCACAATAGAAAGTCACTGAATTCCCTGCTCTGTGGGCGTGGGGTTGCGAACCAAACTTTGACCACCAACCAAGCAGAAAGAGGGAAAGCATGCTTCTTATCTGTATTACAATACCTCAAGACCATGCCCTAATGGGCTGGTATCTCAAAGGCTGTTGGCTGAATAAATTCCCATAGCACTCTTTGATGAGCTTTGAGTGTGCCTCTCAAGTCTTTGAACACCTGGTAATGTCACTCATGAATGACCACTTTTGACTTAGTGATATGCCAGTCACCCACAGGACTTCTTCACAATCAACATGAAAATGTCAGAATCTTTGCAAGCTACTTACTGACCATGGCCATAACTGAAAACTAATTGATATAAATTTACAATCACACTTTATTACACACAAGGTGATGAGTACTTGAAATTAATTACATTTAAATAACCTAATGGCAGGTTGATACTCCCTGCTATTGATTTATTACCCCCGAGTACTATGAGCACTATATAGAGGGATGTCTTGTCATATTCCCGCTCTGAATGTTGTGATGTCATTCTAGTCAGTCATGATGACTGAGAACATTGCTAAGCATCTGCCACACACCATCACCTAAAGTCCTTGTCTGTCCAAATATGCTGCCTGATGTGGGATTCCTTTTTGTATGCTGTATATGTTTTATTACCATTGGTTAATAAAGAAGCTTCTTTGGTCTATGGCAGAGCAGAATAGAGCTATGCAGGAAAACTAAACTGAATCCAGGGAGAAAGAAGGCAGAGTCTGAGAGATGCCATGTAGCTACCCAAAAAGCAAAAGGTAACAAACCATGAGCCTCGTGGCAAAATATAAAATAATGGAAACAGGTTAATTTAAGATTTTAGCTAGCTCTTGCTAGCTAAAAATATGCCTGAGCCACCGGCAAGCAGTGTTGTAATTAATATAGTTTGTGTGATTATTTGGTTTGGGGCAATCAGGAAACCAGAGTACAGTCTTCATTTACATTGTCCCCTCAGTGACATCATTATCATCAATATAAATTAATTGTTATCATTATTCTTGTTGTTAGACAAGGTCTCATTCTAGGTCTGATTGACCTGCATGTGTCTGTGTAAGTGTGTGGTGGGTGCATACGCACATGTGCATACTCACGGATTCCAGAAAAGGGCATAAGAGCCCCCTGGAAATGGAGTTATAGATGGTTATGAGTTGCCATTTGGAATCTGGGATCTGAAACCTGGTCCCCTGCTCTTGATCATCCTGTGCTCCTGATTGTGGGGCTGTCTCTCCACATCTGTTTTTAAGAGCAGGTCCATTATTTTCTTGTCATTAAATTTGTTATTCAAGTTAAATTCCTTTGTTACAGAATTTTATAATTTCCCACTGTCTGTGACTTAGGTTTTCTTTTTCATAACAAACTCTTTAGGAGGGAAACAATTTTATGTTTTGTTGAAACCTGTTTTGTCTGTTTTGAATTAAAGAGTTGAAGAAAAATCCCTTTCTATCTAGCAATCCTTGAGCAGCAATTGAAAAAGCATGGCTTGGGGGATATGGCTCACAGCCCACCATGCATAAGGCTTTGAGAAATACTCTGCATTGCCTATAAACTTGGGAGGTGGAGGCAGGAGGATTATAAATTTAGTTCATTTTCAGCTACCTACAGAGTTTGGAGCCAGCTAGGCTACATGAGATCTTATCTAAAAAAATTGCTTTAATTAATTTGTCTAGGGCCCAGTCAAATGCTGGGGAAGAGTTTTTTTTTTTTTTTTGACCCGCCCATATGTTCCAAAACAAAACTTCTCCATCTGGGACCTGGGTTTGAATCCCAGCACCCAAATGATGACTCACAATCATCTTAAACTCTAGTTCCAGGGGGTCTGATATCTCATTTGGCTGCCTTATGCACCAGACACGTGTGTGGTACACAGACATAAGTGCAGACAACACACCTAGACATCTAAAATTGAAATAATAATAAAAGATTTAAAGTCCTTCATCTGTTCCCTGGGTCTCCCTACAGACTTTCCCTGTTCCCTGAGTTGTACCCTCTGGAAGACACCACAGAAAGGTGGGTGTTCCTCTCAGCAGGACTCCTCAAGCATTTTCTCCAGTGTCATCCTGGACAAACTTACTTTGTAGATAATATTCTACCCATGAAAAAGTGTGTCTCTGCGAGGTAAACAGTTGCCCAGAGGGTGGACAGGGTACAATATTTAAGAAACATGAGTTAATTAAAATCCCATCCATCAGAATTTACTTTCATTGATAGGAAGCCAAACAATTTGCCTGGCAATTAAATTAGAATTATTCTAACGGTCTAGATGCAGCTTCATTAACCACTCCTGTGCTCCCATGATGCATTCTGGCGCTCTGAACACACGCGCTGCCTTGCTTGCTGCTCGACTCCCTTCAGACATTAAATGATGGCTGGACTGCAGCTATCACACACGCTGTCAAGCCTGGTACCGCAGCTTGACACGGGAGGAACATGATGTTCACATCTTCCTCTGGGCGATGAAGACTAGAATCTTCATCAGCTGCTGCCTAAGCAAAGAGACTGCCTGCTTTTATAATTTTCAGAAACCTTCTAGCCCAGCCTCCCGGAACCTAGGAATAATCTCTGCAGGCACCATTGCAGGGTGGAAAAGAATGTATGCATCTTTCCTGTCCACGTGGGAGCAGGGTGAGGATGCTCAGAGAGATGCAGTCAGCAGACAGTGCCAGGGATGCGAGGTGGAAACTGAGGTACCTGCCTGTGGTGGCAAAATGCTCATCTCCTTCCTGAAGTAGCAGGGCTTGCACTCCACATGTATGCTGAACAGGATCTCCCACTGTCTGAAACAGCACAGCCCACGATGGGGAAAATCAGACTTTCACTGAATGAACTCCCTTCATGTCACATGTAAACATTATTCAGACATATAAACGGGGGCCAGGGATGGCTCAGTAGGCAGCGCTTATCTATCAGGCCCTGGTTCAATCCTCAGGGCTGTATAAACAGGGTGTATGGACACTGTGATCCCAACATTGAGTAGGTAGAGGCAGGAAGATCAGGGGCTCACAGCATCCTTGACTGTATTCTATGTAGTCAAGGCTATCCTGGGCCACTCAGCCCTCTATCTCAGCAAAGAGAACCAAGAGGAGAGGAAAGGAGGGCTTATCATTGTGGTTTATTAATTGACTTAACGGGCCTCTACTTACAGGCAGGATTTTCTAGCTCTAACCAGCGGCAGCCATGGTTTAAATGTGACACTAAATAAATCCAATGTACAGAGGAACAGCTCTGTAGTACCAGCATTTGGGAAGCTGATGGAGGAAGATTGCTGTGAAGTTAAGGCCTCAAAGCAAACAAATGAAAGATGTGCATGTGTGTGCGCGCACACATACACACACCACACACACAACAAAAACTGAAAGTGAGCCATCAGAATTCAAACTGTGATAATACATCTGAACAATGTGGGCATGGTAATGAATTTTTAAAAAGATTCGTTTTATTTTTAATTATGTATATATGCTTGTGTCTCTGAATGTATGTGCATGTGTGAGTGCAGTACCCACAGAGGCCAGAAGAGGGCAGAACTCCTGGAGCTGGAGCTAGGTGGCTGTGAGCTGGATGACAGAGATGCTGGGAACTGAACTCAGGTCCCCTTTGAGAGCAAGTACACACTCTTAACTGCCACCTTGTGGTCCTGAGAATTCCTAGTTAACCTTGCTTGTTTTCTCTTTTTCTCTTGCTTGGCATGCCTGCAGTGACAAGGAACAGTAAGTATTCCACTCCATTTTCATTTTTCTACGAGTTGAATTTTGATGCTTTCTCTGATCAGTGTGTTGAGCTGGTAAAGAAAGGAACAAGCCAAGTTTACACCCCCCCACACACATGCACACACACACACACCATATACACACACCTACACCCACACACAACCCACCCCTCATCTCCCCCACACCCCCACGCACACACACGTATACACACCCACCCTCCACATATACCCCCACTCCCACATGCATACACACCCATGCCCCCCCACGCACACCCACGCACACACACACACACACACACACACACACACACACACTGTGTATATTTCCAGGAAGGAAATATGAAATTTGAAAAGGAAATTCTGTCTTGGTAGAAAGATGGACTGTGTTCCTGAGGTGAGCTCCCAGTTGAGATTCTGGGTAGTGTTTTAGTGTTTGGGACTTTGGGCAACAGTCCTGTCTGTATCTGCCCCTGAAAAGGTTTTCTAGGACCATAACTCTGGCTGGTGCTGTTCTGAATCAAAGTTTTAGTGACTGGGGCAGTGCTGGCAGGCTGTCTAGATGCCTCCCGGCTGTCTCTGGAGGTCACCCTGACTGTCGTGAGCTGCGCCATCAGCTCCCAGTGTCTGGCTTTGCTCACCGCATTTGTGTTTTGAATTAGATTCATGTACTAACTGTGCGTGACAAATTAGACGTCAGACCCAACAAAGGGGCTGCCAGGCAGCTCCATCTCAGTGACAAATACATTCAGACACTATAGGATGTCATTGTCACCCTAGAATAATGGAACACTAAGACTCATCATCACTGTGGCCTTATGTATCACGGTCTCCACTATTTCTGGGTCCCCAGACTATCCTGTCTGTAAAATGGGTTTGACAATTTGCCCTTCCATATCAATGGGTAGAGGATCCTTCACATGTAAACTGTAAGGCACCAGCAATCAAATGGAGGTGTGAATCACCACCTTGCCTTCCCATCGACAGTTGTGGTGGGAAGAAAACAGGCTTGAATGTTGGGTTTGATCCAAATCATCTTACCCTCATTCCTCCAGGGAATGGCTGGACCCTGATAACATCTACCTGTGTGACCCTCTGCTCTGAGTCTCACTTTCCCCATATGCTCTATGGGAGAATTTGGGCTCTTAGTGATCTCTGTGGTTGTCCTATAGAAGCATGGTCAGGCAAACTTTGCTTTTTATAAAACTGTAGATGACTGTGTTATTCAGATGTGTCAGGGACTGGGACTGAGTTGCTGTTAGATTAGTGATCGATGAGATGTCTTAAAGGGACAGATGCTGTATGTCGCCTCTCACATGTGGACCGAAGTGTGTGTGCAAGTGTGTCATGAAGTGGAAAGGGAACCATGAGAGGGAGGAAGGGTGATGGAGGTCACATGACATGATAGCAGAAGGGAGGACTATTTCGGAGGAGAGAGGGGGTAGCAGGAGGGAGGAGGGGTGGGGAGGGGAGTGGGGAAAGAGGGTAAAGAGATTGAGTGTAATCACATGTGTGCATGAAAACTCCATAGTAAAACCCACTACTTTGTATGCTAACTTTATATTTATTTATTGCATGTCTGTGCACCATGTGCATGTAGGAACATGTGGAGGTCAGAGGAGGGCACTGGGTCCCCTGAAACTAGAGTTATGGGTGGCTGTGAGTCGAGTCGCCATGTGGTTGCTGGAAACTGAACATCGATCCTCTGCAAGAGCAGCCAGTGATCTTCACTGCTGAGTCGCTTCCCAGCCTCTAAAACAATTAAAAACAAAACTATAAATAGGACAGTGCAGGGCCATGACCACAGGGTCTCAAAGCTCATACAGGCTTCCAGGTGCTGAAGGCTGAGAGAGTTTGCTCCCCTTCTCTTTTCCTCTCTCATCTGATTCCTTCCATTTTTCCTTCCTTTATTAAAAGATATTGCCAGGAATGGTGACATGCCTTTAATCATCAGAGGAAGGTGAATCTCTGTGAATTCAAGGCCAGCCTGGTCTACAGAGTGAGTTCCAGGACTGCCAGGGATACACAGAGAAACACTGTCTCAAGAAAAAAAAAATGACCAAGTGCCTACTGTATACCATCATGCCATTCCTCTGGGGAGCAGGCCATGTAGTAACAGAGACATCTGGCAGGCACGTGACGATTGCGTGTGTGAATTAAATGCAGGTGGGTAGTGGGAAGGGGGTGAGGTGTCCTCTGTGTGTTTCAGGGACTTCCAGGAGTGTCACCCATCTCCTGTTGTCTGGAGTCTTCTGATGCAGGCTTTGGTGGCAGTGACCTTCCACTTTCTTTAGGTGCAGGGGCAGACACAGCAGGGGCTGTTTCTGTGAGTACCTGGCCTTTCTGTCTCTAGCCTACATCAGTTCCTTCCCCACAAGGGTTAGGCATCCAGGAAATGAACATTCAGTAGTGGCGATCTTTCTGCTTCCATTAGCAGTGGAATTTTCCTTGAATAATATTTTATTCAAAAGCTAAATATTGCCGAGCGATGGGAATATAGCTGGGTAAAGACCTTCCATGAATGAGCATATTATACAGCTGTGAACTTTATACAGCTGCGATTTAAAACGATGCTACCCTGTATCATTAAAGTGAGTGTTAAAGTGAGTGGAGGTGAGTGGCGGTTTCCCCTTTTCTCTCTTGGCTGTCATATGTATTGGCTAGTGTTGGCTGTGTGACAAACCATCTTAAACACCTTACTCAGTGATCCCTATTTACAGATACCCCAGCTATCTAACTTGTAAATAAACCCACAGAAAGAAACACCCTATCCTCAAGTTATTGCCACTTAATCTCAGGCTGGGTTACCTGGGAACCTGCTTTCTCAGAAGATTGAGCTAGCAGATAGGGGGTGGGCCCTCCAGGCACACGATCCTTGGTGTAACTTGTCCTGTGGCTAACAGAGCTCTGGCTCCAGCACCGGCTTTTAGCAGGATCTTTGGTACAGTGCTTGTCTGACATCATAAGGCCCTAGGTTTGAGCCCCAGCAGTGGGCATGATGGACCATACTGTAATCTCAGCACTCAGGAGGTAGAGGCAGGAGGATCAGGAGTTCAAGGTCATTCTCAGCTACATAAAAGGTTCAAGACCAGCTGGGATGCCTGAGACTCTGTCAGAAAGGTCAACAACAACAAAACAAAAACCCAGCACCAAGATCTTGGTGTTAGACCCCGTCTTAATGACACTCAAGTGGCTTCTGTCCTAGTTAGGGTGTCTGCTGTCATGAAGAGACACCATGACCATGGCAACTCTTAGAAAGGAGAGTATTAACTGAGGTGCTGGCTTACAGTTTCAGTGGTTGACTCCATTATCATCGTGGTGGGGAGCATGATGATGTGCAGGTGCAGGCAGACGTGCTGCCGGGGAAGGAGCTGCTGCAAGTTAATATGTGGGCAACAGGAAGTAGACAGAGACACCCGGTGGGATCTTGAGCATATATGAGACCCCAAAGCCCAGCTCAATAGTAATAGTCTTCCTCCACCTAGACAACACCTACTCCAACAAGGCCAAACCTCCTAATAATGCCACTTCCTATGAGATTTTGGGGTCCAATTACATTTAAACTACCGTGGTATCCTATATTGAAAGAACTCACTGTCTTGTCCCAAGGCCCCCATGCCCACAAGGCTTCACAACCCAGGGGGCTCCTTCTATTCTCAGAGAGTAAAAGATCTTGGTTGAAAACCCATCTCATTTCCCTCTGTTTGCTTTGGGAATGAAAGCATGTAATCGACAGGAGGCATGCGGGCTCCCACTGAGACCCATGAGGACATTATCAAACACCAGCTGGGCTGGGCCAACTGCACATTCTAGGTCGCAGATAGGAGGAGGATCCGGAGGGAGCGGCAGCTTCCAGTCACCCTTCTGCTCTCTGCAGTCTACAGAGGGAGGCCGTCTTCCTATGAGGGACCTTGGGGACATATCCCCTCTGCCCATTTGCATTTCTGAAGTCACACTTGTGCAGCAACTTAAGCTTCTGGTGTGCACAGAGCCCAGCACGTTGTAAGATGATGGGTGGGAGGGAGGTGCTGGCTACGGTGCCTGGGACAACACTGAACCATAAAACGTATCCTTAGGGGTCTGTGCTGGGGCAGGAGGTCTGGAATGTTCCCTGAGTTCAGAATGGAATTGCTATATAAAGGCAGGAATGAAGTGGAGGGGGACCATGGTGGTTCATATTGATGGTCAAATTGACTAGAATCGTTCTGAAAACCCGCTGAGGTTAGGTCAACTGAGCTGGGAAGACCTACCCCAAATGAGGTCAGTTCCATCCCACGGACGGGGGTCCTGCACTGAGTACAATAGGAACCATAAGCTGAGCACCAGGTTCATCTCTCTGTGCTTCCTGACTGCGATGTCACGTGACCGGCTGCCTCACACTCCTGCCACCTGCCGTGCCTTTCCTGACGTGAGGGGCCGTACCTGCACACTGCGAGTTAAGATGAGCCCTTAAGCTGCTTCTCTTCAGTAAGAAAGCAACTAAAATCAGGACCTGAGGAGCAAGCAAGGAAGAGAGGTGGAATTGAGAAAAGGAAGAACGGGGCAGGAGGAGGAGACCACCATCCCCACAGTGAACCACAGACCTGGGGACCTGACTGGGCTCTGTGGGAAAGGTCAGGCGCCATCGTGTCCCTCTCAAGTAGGGGGAGGAGACCTCAGGCTGGCCTCTCTTCCCTCACTCCCCCAGCTCACCTAGGAGGTCTTGGCATAGCCTAAAGGGACCTGAAGCTTTCTTAATTTAGGAGTCCTTTCTCCAGAGGTGGGAGACAAGTCCAACTTTTGCAAAAATTCCTAAGGAATTTGACCAATACCAGGACACATCCCAGAGCCTGAAAGGGGGCTAGGTGAACATGGACTCTGAACTCCCAGTGTTCCAAGGATCCTAGGAGTCTTTCACCATCAGGGACAGCGCCCTTTGGTACCTAGACTGAGGGGGAGGGGTATGCCTTGCTTCCACCCTCCTGTGGACCACTAATGGAAGACTTTAACAGCCCTCTGTTCACAAGAGCCTGGGTTCTAGTCAAGGTGACTGTGCGCCCCTGTCTCAGATATTGATCTGAGTGCCAGGGCACAATAGTGATTAGGTCTCTGAAGCTCAGTGGGGGGTGGGGGAGGGAATTAACAACTACCAAGAGCATCCTTTAAGGATGACTTCAGCTGGAGAGGGATGTGGTAGAGAATTTGAACTTGGTGTGCTATTGGAGGAGGGAAGGGCTCCTGGTGTGGCAGGGATGGGTGGGCCAAGGCAAATGTCCTGAGGCAGAAACCAAATTTGGGTGATCAAGTTGAGCGAAGATGCCAGTGTGGCTGGGACTCGGTGGTTGCAGAGCGGAGGATGGGGGGTCAGCAGTGGGGTAGGGAAAACAGATTGAAGGGACTTGCCAAAGTGGGAAAGAGCAATGGGCTTTTATTATGGACATTATGGTAAAATCCACAGACATTAACATCAAGCATCTTAAAGAGCTGAACTGGGCAACATCTGGCAAGTTCACAATGTGGGTGACTGTTACTGCTATCTGGCTCTGGGCTTCCCTGTTAGTGAGGTGCTGTTCTAGGGTCCTCTTGAGGTGCCTGCCCTGGGCCACACCCGTGTTTCCATCAAGGGGGGTGGGGTATCTCAGCTCTGTGTTGTGGAGCACAGACTTGAGAGGACAGGCAGTGCTCTCCATGAACATAATGAAGTGCTCCTAGCTGGTCCTCCTGCACACCAGGAAAGGGGAACCAGAGCAGGGTGCTGTGAGGACCGAAGCCATTGGCCTGGACATGGTCAGTTATCTCTGTGTTTGATTTTTAAAGGAGGTAGAAGGAGGCTGGGTGCATAGCTCAGCTGAAATAGTGCTTGTCCGGCATGGGTAAAGCCCTGGGTTTGAGCCCCAGTGCCACACAAATTACAGGTAGTAGTGCACACCATAATCCCAGCCCTTGGGAGATGGAGGCAGGAGAATTGGGAGTTCAAAGTTGGCCTTTGGTATATAGCTAGTTCAAGGCCAACCTCGGCTACATAAAACCAGTCTCAAAAGGTGTGGGGCAGGGGAGAATGCACAGAGCCTTTAATGGTTGAAAACTTGGTTATTCGTCCTTAAAAAGATATGTTTACAACCTTATTCAACTTGTTTAAGTTTAAAGAGGACTGTTCCCCCCACCAGGTATGACAGGACATAGCAGCCACCCCACGCTTGGAAGGTAGAGGGAGGAGGACCGGGGGTTCAAGGTCATCCTCAGCTATAGAGGAAGCTCCAGGACAGTTTGGGCTCCATGAGATCATGTTATAAATAAATAAATAAATAAATAAATAAATAAATAAATAAATACGTATCCAAACAAAACATCTTTGGGCCAGGCCATCCATGGGGTCCACCTGGCCTGACTCAGTTCTCTGCACTGTATGTTCTCTGTGTGGGGGTGGGTGGGGGGGTGTTCTGGTTTAGGTCTTTCTGAAAATGTCTTGCTTTCTAACTTTTCTTCATGCATGTGCTCTGGAACACTTCCTAAAATAGATACATCAGAGTGGGATGAAGGAATGATGCATGTTGCATTGTTCAGACAGGCAAGCCGAGGCTCAGAGGCACCATTCTGCCTAGGGTCCCTCGGCCAGTGAGGCTTCCTGCAGAAGCTTCAGCCCTGATTTTACAGATCCCTGGGTCTCTGTCCTGACCCATCTCATGCCTTCCCCTCAGTCTTTCCCCAGCCCACCTCACATTTTTCCCTTGACCTCACAGGCTACAGGCAGGATGGTCCGTCCATCCAGGAGCGAAGACCGACAGGCAGAAGAACCAGGAAGAGCTGACAGACGAAGAGAAGGAGATCATCAACAGGGTGATTGCTCGGGCGGAGAAGATGGAGGCGATGGAACAGGAGCGCATTGGGTGAGGCTGCCTTCACCTCCCTGAAGGCTGCATGATGCCACTGGGGCGGGAGCACTTGACCACTTGTGAGTCAGAATCCTTGTTGCATGAGGTGGCAATCTAATCCAGAAGATGAGGAGGAGGGAAAGAGGACAGAAAGGTCTGAGGTCAGTGTGCATGGAAGCAGCGAAGTCTGGAGACAGGGTAGAGGGAGGTTGATGGGGAGGCTGTGCTGTGGGTGTGAACACTGGCTGTCTTAGCTGATGAGAGCTTCGTAGAGAGTTCTGGAAGTGTTGAATGCCTCACCGAGGGTGGAGTTAGTGGAGATGGCGAACAGAAGACACTGCATTTGACATTCTAGGCAAAGGCTCAGAGATGGGGCAGGGGGCAGGAGAAGTATCTGGTACCCTACAGTGCAGCCCAGTGACCATGGATGACAGTGACCTGAGAATTTCAAGACAGCTGGCAGAGAAGTGCTGAGTATTCCCAGGGATGGACACACCAAGGATGCCCACCCGATCATGACAGCTCATATGTATGTAGTAAAGCACCGCTGTGCATCCCATAAACATGTTAAAGAGAACATACAAGAACGCACTTCAGAGCGAGCTATAGAGCCACACTGGCAATATATGGCAGTGTAACCAGTAGTATATGGCAGGCAGGCATTGTGTGGAGAAGGCAGTTGAGGTGGACCCAGTGTGGACACACACACTCTGGGCTTGGAGAACCCGGAGTCCATGGTGGAACTGGAACACACGGATTTATCTCCCTGAGCCCCATCTGCTGATGGGAGGAAGGGCGTGATGACACCACCGGATTCTAAAGAGGATAGAGTGAGTGATGGGTGTGCCCCAGTTGTGACTGTGTGTAATGGATGGGAGGAAAGAGGGCAAAGCGGGTCTCAGCAAGCAGGGCTAATGACTTGTGGATGGGAGGGAGGCGGGGCTTGCAGGAAGCAGATGGGGAAGAGAACAGAGTGCTTGCGGAAGGGCAGCTGGGAGCCGAGTGGCTGATCAGGGTCAGGGTGACTGAGGAAAGGGGAGACTCTAGGCATGGCTACCGAGGGACCCACAGAACAGTCCCTTACACTCCAGTCTCCATGGGAACTGGGGAGCAGCTGAGAGGCTACCTTGCCTCTTGCCCTCAGGAAATCCCTTACTGTCCCAATGCAAAGTGAAACAGATGTGTCCTGCTTTTGTGTGTTTGCATGCACGTACATGCATATTCCTGGTGTCTTTTTCAGCATATTCTACCGTTCACTGAGGACTCCTACCTACAGTGTATCCATTCAGCTAAACTGGGTGGTCAATGGTCCAGGGACCCCCCTTTCCCTCACCTCTACGTGCTGGCACTTACCGCCATGCCTAACTTACATGGCTGTTGGGGCTCACAGCAGGCTTGTACCGCTGAGCTATCTTCCAGCCCTGCAGATGTGTGTGGTGCCATTCCACAGGCTGGCATCCTGGGCTATTGCATAAGGAGAAGCAGAGCGCCAACAATTCTTCGCACCTTGCAGAGAACCTGACCCAGCCACACTTTTATCGATGCCTTCCTTGCCCTCGGCTTTAAGGGCACTCCTTCCCGCTTCTAGCACAGGGTCAGTGAGTCCCTGTCTTCCTTCTGTAGCTTGACATTGACTTGCTGCTGTGAGGCAGAGCATCATTGTTGAGAGCTCCCCAGATCAAGGAGACCTAGGTTCAAATCCTGATTCCATTGTGATCTTGTGCTAGTCTCTTTGCTCCTGTGCCTCAGTCTCCTCATGTGCAAAATGGCAATGACACTCCTTGGTGAATAAATATGCCAAGGACGATGGTGAAGTACACCGTAGTAAACGGTAGCTATCCAAGGGCCGATTTGGTTTTCACAGCAAGAGGCTTTTTGTTTTGTTTTGGTTCTTGCTGACGCTTTTGGTCTGCACCTGTGTTGGGATGTTCCAGTTTGGCAAGCCCTGGAGTCCCAGCATCCCCTGGCTTCCCCGGAAGGAGACTTGAGAGGCTTCCAGGGATCCTGGGCCAAATCTGGGCTGGCAGGGTGTACCTCAGCTGAGCTGGTGTATTTTCTCGCTGGCTTCCCGCAGTGGGGAGGGCAGCCCCGGAAGCCTGGCAATCCGTGTCTCCTCCATTGCAGCCCTCAGCCCTCTCTGGCAACATCGCCAGAGGCAAGCCCGATGCTATTTGTGTCTTCTAAGCTCCACACCAAGCCTTCATTCCGGTCCCTCCTACACCTCCCGGAAGAGAATCAAATGAAAGCCGGGTGGGAGTAAGGCTGAGGCAGGGTTCTGCTCTCCGGGGCAACCACTGTGAAACCAAAGGCTCTCAGTGAGCAAAGGTTCTGCCTCCATTTCCCCAGTTGACTCTCAGGTGCGTTCCTGCTCACTCAGCTGCTACAGTGATTGCATGTGGTGAGAACATCACCCTTCATGGCTGACTGTGCCTCTGAGGAAGGGGAATCTTTTTAACTGGGTTAGGATTTCAGGGGCTCCTGTCCCCATCTGAGTCCTGTTGCTGAGTTTTCTTTTCCGTTACCCTAGTGAAGCCATCTGGGACAGTATGAGGTCACTTTGAATCAACATGGACAAAAATCCCCACAAGGGACACTACAATGTACCAAGTTTTGCCTTTTGCTTTATTTATTTGAGACAGGTTCTCATGTGGCCCAAGCTAGCCTTGAGCTCACTATGTAGCTGAGGATGACCTTGAATTTCTGATCATCTTGCCTTTACTTCTTGAGTTCTGGGGTTACAAACGGGCACCACCATACCCAGTTTCTACAGTGCTGGCCATGGTACCTAGGGCTTCATGCTTTGTAGGCAAGTTCTCTACCCACTGAGCCCTCAGCCCTGAGTCCTGTGGTTTAAAACTTCACTTGACCCAACACAGTCACTGCTCCTCTTTACCCTGTGGAGTGGGTACTATAGCAGTTCTACTGTACAGATGGGGAAACTGAGGCTGGGAGAGAAAAGGTCATAGACAAGCTAGGTTTACTCCCCTTCTGGCTGGCCCCAGAATGATGTCCTTAACTCTATATATTGTTTTCTTCCCCGGACCTGCCCGCGGACTCCCTCTCTCTGTCTGTGGACCTAAACTTCTAAACATCTTATTGCTTTTCATGCACATATGCATGCCATGGCACATGCATGGAGGGAGGGCAGGAGCAATTCTTGAGGGTCATCAGGGCATCAGTCTTGGCGGCAAGCCCCTTTACCTGCAGAGCCGCCTTGCCAGCCCAAACTTCTACTGAGGAGTTCAAGTTTAGCAGGTGGCCTCTCCGGCAGACTCCTTCCTGCCTTGTTAATCTGCTTCCTCTGCTGGCGTTGTTGGTAGTGCCGGGCTCTGATTTCTGGTGGGAAAGGTATCAGGCCTCCCAGGAGGCTTTGATTCTTCTTCCGTGGGACAATTTTGCTGGAAGTAAGAACCCAGGAGAGCCCCAGGCTGTGTAGAGTCCCGAGCTGCCCTCCTGCAGCTCCATCCAGGGTCTCAGTGCTCACGTGCCCTCCACCCTCTCCCCAGCTCAGCCCTGTTCAGGATATGAGGAGAGAGAGATGACGACCAGGAGAGAATCCCGTCCAGCTGCCTCCTTCGCATGCCTTCCCTTTCCGGGCACAGGATTTGTTCTCCCCGGTTAGCTGGCGCGGACTTGAAGGGGTTAAGAATTCAGGCGTGGCTCTACTGGATGGTTCCTGTCCTGTGGGGCAGCTGGCAGTGGGATTACACTACACTGGAGGGTCCTTCCTAGTTCAGTAGCCACCCCTAGCCTGCCCCTTCATAGCGAGGTCTCAGGAGTGCAAAGGTGGAAGTCACCAAACATCCTTATGGCCAGGCCTGGGACTGAGGCCATGGTCGAAGGTTCCATCTCCTTAAGAGAAGGATAGCTGGTGTGTGCAGAGGAAGATGTGACTGACCGTCATCTTTCCCTCTGAGCTGTGCACATTGGCAGACCTAATGGGAGGCTCAGGGTTGTCCCACGGAATTTGGGATCAGGCATATAGCCTCAAAAAAAAAAAAATCTCTCACCCCATGTGTTAGCAAATACAGCCATGCCACATCTCCACGGAAACAAGGCTGCTGGGGGCTTCCTCTGAGTGGGAAAGGGCTCCAAATGAGCTGGAAAGACACACTGATGGTCACTGGACTTTCAGATGCTCTAAGTCGTTTGCACCCCCACTCCCTCTACGTGACAGAGCCTCCGTCCATGAGGCTGTCCTTCTGTGTCCCCATTGCACTTCCTTCTGTCTGGATCTCCTCCAAGGCATTTGCACGTATCCTGCCTGCAAAGAGGCAGCAGCTGGGTGGCTCTGTTCGAGGTCAGCTTCCTGAAACAGACGGGCTCAAAGAAAGTAATCAGAGTTGTCATTAACCTTGGCTCCCAGCTCGATGATGGAGGAAGGAGTCAGAGATGAAGAAAGACCTGTTGTGTCCCAGCCACTTCCCTGTCGGGGTTCACATCCCCCATCCCAACTGTTTGACGCAGAATTTTTCCACAGTGTTTGTCCTTAGGAGATGTCCTTCCCGTGGCTGGGCAAGGACACAGACAGCCAGGTCAGTCCTGCCCCGTCTACACCAGTCCTTTCTCCGGTAGTCTGGAGCCCAGGCCTTCCAGAGTGGAGTGTGAGTCAGGGTCGGGACATAGTTACACACACGTTCATCTTTTCACAAGAAGCAACTGTCCATGGATCCCATCAGGTTTAATAGGTTCTCTGTAACCTCCCAGTGTTAAAAACTGCTAAGTAGCGCTTCAGTTTCCCCAGGTGTTAGATAAATGCTTTCTTTCGGTATCCATTCAACCTTAGCCATATTTAGTGTACATGCCTGTAATCCTGGCACTCAGGAGGCTGAGGCAGAATGTCAAGTTCAAGGTCATTCTGAGCACTGAGTGAGACCTTGTCTCAAACAAAACAAAACAACAACACAAGCAAGTAAATAAACCTTGAAGCTGGAGGCTGGCTTAGTTAGTAAAATAGCTACCAAGAAAATGTGAGGACCTGAGTTGGGATCTCAACCCTCATCTAAAAGCCAGCA